TATTTCAAATATTGAGTTTTTACTTCGTCTAGAGTTCCAGCAGTTTCGCCACTTAAGATGTTAGTAAGAGACAAATACAAGATCAGTAATAATGACAAAATTTGACTGCTGACCTGTCGCAAAGTTGCAGTTCGAATCGACTGGCCTTTACACGTCCGTGGCTGCTCGGAGATAGTAGCGTTAATAGTGTTTCGAATTGCACAATTGTTTTGAGCCTATAGAATTTGTCTCCGCGACGTTTTTCCTGCTGAATACATAAATCCTATACGCCGCGATGTATAGTTTATATTGTTTTAGATTTGTTTTCCATACAGCCGCAGATATAAAAAGAGCCGTATCGCTCGAATCACCGGCAACAGAAAATTCACACTTGCCTAACGCTCTCCGGCGAGCATTAGCCGAGGAACGAGTAAGCTGCCGCCGCGATTCCAGCGCGCTCGTTCGAAGAAATGCTCGAGGACGTTTCGTTGTCCAGGAAATAGCGTTTCGCGCGCGCGTTTGCGAGTGAAATCCCCGAAAACCTCTCTTCATCCCCGGGAAATTGCCGTGTGTCGAGGCGTGCACGCATGCAAAATGCAAATCGCGGCCGATGAGCCTTCCCGATGGCTCGTTTCCGCGGGCAAACTGCCTCGTGTTCCAGCTCGACTCTGCTCCGCGTCGCTCCGCACCGCTCCGCACCGCTCCGCACCGCTCCGCACCGCTTCGAGCAGCTCGGCGCAGCTTCGCGTAGTTTCGCACCGCGCCGCGGAAACGAGCGGCCAGCGCACACAAATATCCGCGCGAGCGGAGGGAGAGAGAGAGAGAGAGCGAGATAGAGCGAGAGAGAGAGAGAGAGAGAGAGAGAGAGAGAGAGAGGCGAACGCACCCGACGCCTCTCCGTACGTCCAACGACGTGTAAACGGCTTAAGCCATTACGCTGGCCGGCTGCTTCCGTCGCGTACGTTAATTCTCCTGTATCGCGGTGTATGATCCCGGCCATTTACATAACCCGTGAGTGCGTGCCCGGCCGGAATGGTCGGCGCGAGCCAGAGACTGGCCAATTATTGCCAGCCCCGCTTTCACAGAGCACCGCTTAAAGCCGATCTAGCTTTAGCCCTTCGCGAACCCGTGATACGTTAGGAACGGCACCGCGATTGTACCACGCGTTACACAAAGCTCGATCGACCCTCCTCGTACAGGATTGCTAATCGAATTTCGTCTTGGCACAGCCCTGTTCCAACGCGGCTAACGGATCTGACGCTCAAACGCGGCCAAACGCACCGAACAAGCGCGTCCCGTGTGGGCATCGTGTAACGAAGACGTTTCCGCAAGCTGTTCTATCTATTTTTATCGATATTAGCAGTGGAATACGTCGACCAATAGATTTATGCAAGGATGTACCAAATACGTTTTGCAATACGGAACTGGAAGATTCCTGAGGTCATTCGAAGTAACTTTTTCCTTAGCGAAAATGCGATCCGTGGCTTCGTTTACGAGTTATTAACGAAAAACGGCGACCAATGAGAGATCGCGCGTGACTGACGCCCCGCCCACGCTACCACTGCCGCTGCGTCAGACGGCCGGCGCGGCGCGGCATTGGCCGCATGGGCGGAGCGCCGGCCGCACTCGCTCTCCGATTGGTCAACGGTTTTCGTTAATAACTCGTAAACGAAGCCACTGGTCGCATTTTCGCGAAGGGAAAAGTTACTTCGAATGATCTCGGGAATCGCCCGTTTTCGGATTGAAGGACATTTTTAGGACGTCTTGTATGTATATATGAATATATATTTTTATATACATTTATATGAACGCGGAACGAGGGAATCATGTAGCAAAGACGTTTCTAGGAGGTCTTCTAACTATTTTTATCATCTTTAGCAACGAAGTACCTCAACCAATAGACAACCATTTTATATGAACGCAGAGCGAGATGACACATTTGACCTTTAACCAGTCAGTATGACTGACACGCGAATCCCTTGTAACATACAGAATATGTTATTAGACGATTCTTATGGAAACAGAATTGAATACGAATCGCAACCTAATTAGATCCGCGCTATTAATTTATCGACGAGAATTTCGCATTAGAGGATAAGGGACAGAACACGTGAAGCGTCATGACCGCAATGTTATCCCATAACAAGCCCACATATGTGTAAAGTCGATTTACAATGGTTTTCAATGAGCTGACCGCGGGGTATAGTTATATCCTGTAAAATTTTCTACAATTGCAATAGAGTATCGATAGAATAGATCAACAGAGAATAATAAATGAACGCTTGGAACTGGATTTTGAGACATGTCAAAATGACAGTATCATTTTTCGGTAAATTTGTACCAACAGTTTTGTACTTTGCTGTAAATTATATCATCGATGGTACGAAATAAACAGTTTGAATTAGTCGCATAATGAAGCGTGTTTTACAAATGAATTCACGAATAAATATCGAAACACAAATTCACGGCCGTTGTCGACAAATTTAACCACAACGGTTCGACGGCATTTGTCACAGAATAAATACAAACGCCTGTTCGCAATTCAATTTATAGGATTATTAAAATATAATTAATCGTCGCGAACTTTGATCCCAAAGCGATTCGAAAACATTGTTATCGCGACCGTAGTTTTGGATAAACTCGTTATCTAATTACAGGATTGTGTAACGAAGAACAGAGATTTTACGATTATTATTTGAATTAACATCGTGGTTTATATTCCAATGTTAAAACTCACCTTCATTCGGAGAACGAAGAACGAACACCATTTTTAATATAGAATTACGGTAAAAAAATGATAGCGCTCCGAAAGATTGCGATGAAAATTCCGCAGCCGGCGTTTCTCCTATTTCGATTGTGCACGGAAAACATTCATCCATTTCCGTGTATTTCTTTCGCGCGTATCGAAAAGTCATATTTGCTTGAAAGTATCAAAATGGACATTGATAACAATTCTGTGTTGACGTTCCGTGAATGTTCAAATTTCTTTTAAAGAGCCGCTCTGTGTACAGTAAATTCTCTCTAATTGACGCTCGGCTTGGAAAGAAAAATGGATAATTTGGGAAGAGGCGGTACAATCATTTCACGCGTCACGAGCGAGGCTCGAATAATCGCATCTCCTCTTCCCTAACTGTTCATTTTCTTGTACAAGCTGAGCATCAATTAGGAAGAATTCACTATACTTTGAAAAATACTAAATCGAGAAAGAAGCGTTTTCCTATATCCAAATGAACCATTGCGACAGAACAATACTAATTTATGGACTAATTTATAGCGCGGATTCTAGGTC